TATTTACAAGTTATATTTATATTATTTTCATTTATAATTAATTTAATTTATTAAATTTACAAAACAAGATCTATTAGGAAGATTTGAAATTATAAATATTAGTGATGATGATTATTATAATAATTATAATAATGATGATAATTGTAATAATAATTACGATGATGATAATCATGATAATTATGATAATGATGATGATAATAATAATCATGATAATTATGATAATGATAATAATAGTGATAATTAAGATGATGATAATAATCGTGATAACAATGATAATGATAATAATAATGATAATGATAATAATAATGATAATAATAATGATAATAATAATAATGATAATAATAATAATAATGACACATTATCATTATTATACAATTATAATGATGATAATGATAATAATAATAATAATAGTTGTAATAATAGTAGAAGTAAAATTAGTGCTACTACGGATGTCACCATCTCCACTGCTGCTACCACTGCCACTATTGCCACCACTGCTACACACTTATGTAAAACAATAATATTGATTTTTATTAAAGATAAATGGTGACAATCTGATTCGGTAAGTAGATCAATGGTAATAATATTTTTTACACCTATTGGGTATGATATTAAATAATATTTTTTATAGTTAAAAAAGTTACTGCACAAAAGAATTGACCTAGCAATTGATATTGTATACAAATTACTAAAAGTACTAAAAACTAAAATCAGATCTTCACGACATATACTAACAGAAGTCGAAATATCAAAAAACGCTTCAATTTGAATGTTAAATATGGTAGTACTTAGAAAATTAAAGTGGAAAAATAGAATCGTTTTGATTTATGACCCAGATACTACTAATCAAGATGATGATAATAATAATAGTGATGACAATAATAATCATGAAATAGGAACAAGTAGTAAAAAAAGAAAACAGAAAGATAATAATAATGATCATGAAATAGAAACTAGTAATAAAAAAAAAACAAAAAGGAAAGAAAAAAGAAAAAAAGAAAAAATCAAAAAAAAAATCAAAAAAATAATTAGATAGATTATTTTATATAGCATATATAATATATTTCATTTTATACTTTTCATAATAAATGTATTTCATTTTATTATCTTTTTTTATAATAAACTAAAATTATGATTATTTGCAAATAAAAAAAAAGTAAAAATATATATATATATATAAATAAAAGGTACTGATAGATATCCGATAGAGGGAAAAAAACTATTTGATATATAGAGATATATCGTGCCTGATATATAGGGATATACTATAACCAATTTATAAAAGATATGTACTTGATAAAAAAAATAAATAAAATTGGGTACCCAATATATGAATGATGAATTTGGAATAAAATATCAAAATATTAATATCCGATATGAAACCGATATGAACCTGATAAGTATCCGAACTTCTGTATTTCGACCTCACCAATTGGGTACCTGATATATTACATAATTGTTAATATCTGACACCTATCGTATACTTATCAAATTCCCAATAGGCATACGATAGGTGTTTAATATTTCCTATTTTGACCAGTGATAATTAAAGATGAGTTTTTTTTTTTTTAAAAAAAAATAAAACTCTTATGTTTATCTTGTCCTTACCTTTATCTTTCTTTTTCTCACCTTTAGCTAGTTCATGGGAATACCTATGGAAGTTGAAATCATCAAAATTAGTTTTGCGAATGTACAATTAAAAATAAATTTTTTTTCTTTTCTTTTTTTTTTAAAAAAAATAAAACCTTATACTTAATTTGTCCTTGCCTTTACCTTTCTTCTTTTCAATTTTCACTGGTTTGTAGGAACACCTATAGAAGTCAAAATCATCAAAATCAACTTTGCAAATATACAATTAAAGGTAAATCTTTTTTTTTTTTTTTATTAAAAAAAATAAAATCTTATACTTACCTTGTCCTTTCTTTTACCCTTCTTCTTCTCACCTTTCACTGGTTCGTGGGAATACCTGTGAAAGTCGAAATCATTGAAATCAGCTTCACAGATATACAATTAAAAGTTTTTTTTTTTAAAAAAAAAAATAAAAATAAAACTTTTATATTTACCTTTCTTCCCTACCTTTCACTAGTTCATAGGAACACCTGTGAAAGTTAAAATCGTCAAAATTAACTTTGCAGATATACAATTAAAGGTCTTTTCCTTCTTCTCCTCTCTTCCCTTTCTTTCTTTTTCTCTTTTTTTCTTCTTTTTCTCTCCCTATCTTTGTATAGTACTCTTCTCTAGACTTGTGGAATAATTGCAAACTTGCAAAATAATTATAAACTTGTAGAATAATTACAAACTTGTGATATAATTGCAGAATTACAAAATAATTGTGAAATGCAGAATAATTAAGGAATTATGGAATAATTAAGGAATTGAGAAATAATTATGAAATTGTGAAATAATTGAGGAATTGAGGAATAATTGAAGAATTGTGAAATAATTGAGGAATTGTAAAATAATTTAGGAATTGTGGATAATTGCGAATTGTGAAATTGTAAATTTTTTATTATTAAAATCTTCAATAATTGCAATACAGGTAATAATATTATAATCCTTAATATATATGTTTCTAAAATTGATTTTGGATTTTTGAAATATTTCGACTTTTTGAGATTTATACAGAATCTATTCTATATATGGAAGTAAAAAGAATATCCAGTTATGTATATATTCAATTAAAGAATAAATCTAAGTGGTCAAAAAATTTTGAATTTTAAATAAAATAATTTTGTCTTCTATGAAAAACTATTTTAACTTTTTTTTTCAAAATTGTAATTCTGAGACCCCAAAATAATTTGTGTGCAAATATAATCCTCAATTTATAATTGTAGATACCATCTTTAATAATAATATATAAAGAAAAATAAATAAATAAAATATGAAAAAAATAAAATAATAAAAAAAAAAAAAATAGTTTATTTTATTGGTTAATTTGTCATTATGCATAGTGACGATAATATCACATTATATAATTTACTATCATACCTCTTAAAATTAGTAGATTTGTAAATTTGTAAATCTTGTAGTACAGTAAATTAAAAAGATATAAATATGAGTTTTTTCTGACTTTAGGAAGAGAGGAAGTAGAGAATTCAAATAAGATATTTGAATAGATCTGAAGTCCTCTTTGATAGTCTTTATTTAATACCTTTAATTTTTAATTTCTACTTTTATTTTGTATTTTTATCTTTATATTTATTATTATATTTATTAATAAAATTATAACCTATTAAATATCCCAATTAATTCTTTATATTATTAATCTATTATACAATCTTCTATAAATTTTGAATAAATCTTATGTAGTTAATCTTTAGCTATACATTTTATCAAGTGAACAAACTAGTTTGATATGCTAAAACCTCTTTACAATAAAGAACTTACCTTGTAATATTTTTTTGAAAGTCTTCAATAAATAATTTAAATTAAGTTGATTTTAGTAATTCTCATGAAACTGTAGTAAATTATTTAAGTAGTTTTAGATATTTGTTTGAGAATATTTGTTATTCTTCAGACCCTTGTTCACAAGAAGGTACAATACTGGATAGCTTAATATAATATGGAAAATTTTAATCTAAATAGGCTCTTATCCTAGATCCTTATGTGACATTATATTAGAATATTTATCATCACATATTACACCTTTTGAATATTGATTTTATTAAATATTCTGTGAACCTAGAATTTTATTTATATTGGGAACCATATCTGTCACTCACTTATATAAAATTTCTTTTTTGATCACCTGTTCAATTATAAACCAATCAAATTCAAAAATTATAGATGTCTAGAATAAAATCCTAGACTGGAACCTAAGTTAAAGATATTCATATAATATATTATCTGATATATATAGCTAATTTCTGGCAAACTCCCTTATCATTAAAGATAGGCCAAATCCATGATATTTTTCCAATATCTAACTCTTTCTTTCCTCTTTCACAATAGTTTCTAGTTATCAATAATTGTTGTCTATAAAGAGTTCATGATAATATTAATTTTATTAAAATATAATTAGTGGATAACAAAATATAATATTCAAATTATTATAATTTTTTTTTACACATCAAATATATTTCTTCTGATAAATATTATATAATATGTAACAAATATGTGGATAACTTTAATATGTGTTGGTAACTTGATTAATTACTGATTGATTAATTATTGATTAATTATTAAGTAATTATTTGATTAATTGATTAATTAATAAATGACTTAAAAAGAAAGAAAGGAAGAAGGGAAGGAAGGATCCTTTCAATATCAAATTGGTAGTTATAAAGGAATGATTCTCAATTAGTAGTCTAGCACTTTGTAACAATTTACAAATAATCTAATGTATGTTTAATATTAAGTTCTATGTAAAATGTACATATGATCTGTGTTCTGAAATGTTCTGAGAAGTTTAAAGTGCAAAGAAAGAAAAAAATAATATTAAAAGTAATTCTTTTCCTAAAAAAAATATACAAAAATAGATATTAGATTATTTTGCTCAAAATATTATATTAAAATATGCAAATAAATTAAAATATAAATTAAAATAATTATTACTTTACCTGTAAAATTTTACGTTTGTCAGGATCAATCGAATTCCATAATGCAGCTTTGATATCATCTGGGATATTACCAAGTATAGCTTTCAATGCATTTACCATCCTTGAGGTCACATATTCTGATAAAATTTCAGCTGCAAGAACTTCAGTAAAAATTGTTATGATTCGGGGTACATTTTCATTATTGTTTCCTAAAATTCCTGGATGTTGACTAAATCATTAAAAAAAAAAAGTTAAAAGAATTATTATATTTCATATATTCAAAAATTCAAATTCTAAAGGACTTTATTACTCACGATTCCAGTAAATCCAATAAATATGTATAGGTCAGAGACGCTTCCTCCTCATCATATAGAATTGGTAAAGATGAAAACCATGCTGGCAAAACTGAATTAATATCAAATTTACTATTATTAAATTTCAAAATTTTGGTTATGGCCGAAATTGCATTCTCGGTGGCATATATATTTTCTTCTTTTCGTGAACCTTCCGAGTTTATTACTTGAAATAATGGGGTCAATGCAGCTACCAAGAAAATAATTAACAGAAAAATATTAATTAAAGGATTATTAATTATTATATTAAAATTATTTAATTATAAAATAATTTATTAATTTAATACCTGCAACAGCATCTGCATAATTTTCTCCACCAAATTGCGCACATACACCAACTCCATATGCAGCAGCTTGTCTGACATCTGAAGCTATAAATTATAAATTATTATAAATTATTATAAATTATTATAAATTATTATAAATTATTTTATATATATAATAGATAAAGAATTACAAACCTATATCCATTAAAGATGCTAACATTTTTTCTAAGAAATGGGAATGATAATTCCATGATGCAGGTCCCGTAAATTCAACCACATCATCAAGGACACATAAAGCCCATTGACGTGCAGCTGGATTAGCATCCGCTAAAAACGTCGTGACAATAGGTAACAATTTATCAAATGACGGAAGATATGAAGTTCGATGAGTTTTAAGGATAACATGTAACGCTTTGGATAATTCTCCTAAAACACTTTCTTCTGTTTCTTCTTCTTCATTAATTATATCTTCATCTTCTGCATCAATTTCCCCATTATGTCGAGCTTGTTCACGTTGTTTTAATCTTGAATAAAATTCTTGTAATTGAGCTTCGGTGGCTTTAGTGAAAGCTTCCAAATGAGAAATTTCGAGACTATTATCACCAACAATTTCTAATGATTCATGAAAAGTAACATAAAGTTGCCACAAATAATTAGGATCCGCTTCACCAAGAATAACGTCAATAATTCTTTTCGCTATTGAATGCCACATATTTCGGAGATGTTCTAGATTAACGTTGGGAGATTTCTTAATAGCATTTAAAAGGTGTGGAATAGTGGAAGCCGCTGCATTTCGAACACCATCATGAAAATAGAATTTCAATAAAGGCAAAACAATTTCCAAAACATTATCAACATAAGGTTGAAAGGCGGGACCAAGTTCCCTAGCATAACAAATAAGCATTTCGACAGCTGTGCATTTTTCTTCCAAGACAGTTGTCTTTATACCAATTTGCTAATAAAGAAGAAAATATTATCATGAAAATTATTATAAAAATGATTATTATTATAAAAGAACATTATAAAAATTACAAAAGAAATCAAATATTCACCTGTCCTTCTACACCCACAAATTCCCATCCATCTTCCGCCGAATATTTTGATTCAACATCATCATCAGCTATTATAAGAATTTTAAAATTTGGATTTTCGTTAACAGAATAAAATTAACAAATAATCCTCACGTAAAAACAAATAAAAAAACGATAAAAAAAAATACTAACGGTCTAAAATGGCAAAATCTGGTTTAAGTTGGGCGGATTGTAAAAGTGGTGGCATTACAACCGGAAGGTATGGTACAAAATCTGCTCCAAGTACTTTGCATACTCTGGCCCACGATGCAATGAGATAAGAAATTTGAGGATCATCTGACTCGGTGACAGAATCTATTATCATTATGATTTTAAATAAATTATCATTAAATCATTAAAAATAGGAAAGAAGAAAATAAAAATAATAAAATAATAATATGCTTTACGTTGAGTCTGAATTAATAATTGAATAAACTCTTCGGCATTTGGACCAAAAATTTCTTTTCCAACAGCCAATGCTATTAATTCAATAATTGTTATAAATGTGATCATAAATTATATAAATCACAAATCATAAATATAAATTTCGTCATAACTAACAAGTGAATGAGTAAGAAACTTTAAATAACTTTAGATTATTTTTTACCAATGAGACTTGCGCATTCCATTGCTTTTCCACGTAAAAGTCGATATTCTTTTTGATGAGCGATTCTCAAAACATTTATTAATAAAGGCATAATTGCATTATAATACTAAATAATTCAGAATAATTTAGAATAATTAAAATAATTTTGAAAATAATTCAGAAATGATTAAAAAGATAAAAAAATAAAATTTAAAATTATTTATTAAAATTGTTATCATCACACCTTAACAAATCGATCTTCAGAACTATCAGCAACCATAGCTATTGATGTTATGGCTTGTTCCTGAACATATGTTCTATCAGAATTCAGGAGAACAAGTAATCTTTCAAAAATGGTATCCAAATATGGTTCAAGAATTGATTTGTCGGCTGCTTCACAAAAATTAACTAAAGCAGCTGCTGCATGAGCTTGAACTCTAAAATAACAACAACAACAACAACAACAATAACAACAACAACAACAATAATAATAATAATTAAAATTTATAGTGACTAACAAAAAATTTATGCAATAATAAATAAATTAATAAATAAATATACCTTGGTTCCGGAGCATCCATGACCGGGATTAAATTTGTAAGTACATTGTGATGATATTTCTTTTGAAGAGAATCCTGAAAATCAGTTGACATCTGACCAATAGCATTACATGCTGCATATCTAACTCTAGGATGTGGATCCCTAAGGTATGGCAAAACCAAACTTTTATAATCACAAAGAGATATTTATTTAATTAATAATATTTTTTTCATCTAATTCGTTATATGTATAATAATGATATTTAAATTAATAATATAATTATATATTACTTACTCAATGATCTTTCCTAATTCAGCTTCCATAATTTTAACACACCCTTCTCCTATGGCTGAAATTGCCATAAGAGCCGCATGTCGTTCTTCCCATTTTGCGGAACTTAACATCGCAGGAATGTATTGAAAAGAAATCGGAAGAACAGCTTTTCCACCTATGTTATGTGATGTGAAAATATATATATATATAAAGGTGTCACTATCAATTAATAAGAGATTTGTATCAAACATTCTCAATTTACCAAGATTACGAGCTAATCTATCCATGGCATGTTCACCAATAACATAATTTTCATCGTTATCGTCATCATCTAACTAACAGGATAAATAAGGTAAATGAGATTATCAAAATTTCATTCGCTCTCCATCCTTTTTTCCAAAAAAAAAAACAGAGATATATATTTGAACGGAAACTTACATCATCCGTGGTATACCATTCTTCACTATTATCCAATTCTGTCATCATTTTTAAAGATATAGGAATAATTTGAGCGCAAAAATCTTGAGTTTTGCGCATCATCGATGGAGAGGCCTCGGATAATGTAAGCAAAAGTTCCAAGGCCGTTTGACGTGTACCATCTGCAAAAGTTTCGTCTTTCATAATATTGATAGCAAAAGACATTACACTTGGGAGAACCGGTTTAAATAAACGAGGAATATTTTCACCTAATTCTATGAACACCATAATGCCATCAACTAAGCCGTCCTCATCTCGTTGAGCTACCAACGGTGATAGGACCTATATATAGAGATATATATAAATTTACGACAAATCAAAGTTAAATAATTAACGTAAAAAATAAATAATTGATTGCAAAAATTAAAAATATGATTTATACTGAAAGCATTTGTGGCATTAGTTCGGAAAAAGAGATCCGACTTTGTTGGTCTGTTTCCAACATTAACATGAAAGCGACCGCAGCTTTAAGAGATGCCGTGCGAATCTAGAAAATAAGGTAAATAAGTATTCAACTATATCCGAATAATGAAAATGGAATAATAATAGAATAATGATTAAACTTACGGCTGGATTATTTGCATCTTGTAAATTTGCCGAAAAAACTTGTTTTACAATATTTATTGGTTGATCAGTAATTATATTTGGAACTGCCGAAAATATACGTAAAGCAGCTTCCCGATGTTCGGCCGAGGGTGATTTACTAGCTTCAAAAAGGGCCGGAAGGAGTTCACCCCACTTTTCTAATGAAAAAATTTTTATCACTTTATCTTTGGTATCATGAACTATTTTTTGAATAATTAAAATAACTAATTCAAATAAATTGAAATATACTCACGTCCTTTCAAATATGAATTTTTTGCAACTTCTGATACTGCATCGCATACTTTATGCCGTACAGTGTTATCCTGTTCTACTGACAAGGACATTAACAATTCATTTTTGATTGTTTGTCTACTTTGTTCTTGTAAAAGGACCCATATCGATGAATCTTCGCCTTTTGTTACTTGATTAGGTGATTGCTTAAAGGCTATTCTCCTTAGTAATATAAAAGAAAATTCACGACCCTATAAACCCCCACACACCAGAAGCCACGTTGAAACGCGTGGCGTAAGTCCATCTTAGCCTTTCACTCCTGGAGTTTTTTTTTTTTTTTTTTAAAAAAAAAAAATTAAAATAAAACTTTTAAAATTATCCTCACGTGTGTGTCTTGGTGAGATCTTCCGAGTTGTGCCAAAGAAAGCAGTAATAAGTCAGGTTGTTGCGCGATCCATAATTCGTTTAATTGCTGTTCGGCTCCAGAACGAAGATCATTATCGGCAGAGGCCAAGTTTGATAATACCTGATTTAGTTGAATAACGATGTCGGGAGAAACTAAGGGATATGCTGTGGTTGTCATTTTCGAGAAATTTATAAGCCCAACTCCAATGTAAGATAATGATTGAAATTATTATCTGTGGTAAAAAAAGAAAATAAAGAAAAAACGTAAGAAAGAAAAAGGTTACATATAAAAGGAGCAAATTATTTCGCGCTTTATATAGTTTTTTTATTATTTAAAATAAATAAATGAAAATATATACATATTTATTTTTGCAAACTGATCGGGGATAAGCGACTTCCAAGAAAAGTTTTAAATTATCGAATTTCTTGGAACGCCTCAAATTATCAAAAAAAAAAAAAAAAAATTTGTGACTCGATGGTGTCATCAATTCGATCCAAATATGAATACTAATAATGAAGATCATGAAGAAAAGAATGAAATTTATGGATCACAATATAATTTATCACCAATTTAAGTAATTTATTTATTTTATATTACATTTATTTAAAATATTTTGCACATAAATATAGCTAATATTTTTAATATTTTTTAAATATTTTAAATATTTTAAATATTTTAAATATTTTAAATTATTATTATTATTATTATAATTATTATTAAGTTACAGAACGATCTTCTAATGTCAAATCTTCCAATAATTCTTCTATTCCTACTTCAGGGAAATCATCATCATTTTCTTCTGTTACATTCTCTTTTGTATCTATATCCATTGATGTGGTGATGGTTGTTGATGCTTTGTATAAGTTAATATTTTGTCTAAGTTCAGGATCTTCCTCCAAATCTTGTAAAAACATTTCATAATCTTGATCCTTTTTATTAACATCTTGTTTCTGTTGTTGTTGCTTCTTCTTTGAAACCGTCATCATTTCATCATCATCATCATCATCATCACCACTTTTTTCCAATGATTTCAATTTCCAATTACGTTGTTTATTTTTTCTACGTTTTTGGGAATAAGATTTTTTAATTAAAATAACATCATGTATATTATTTCGATCAAGGGTATCAAAATTATCATCATTAAAATTGGAAGTTAAAAGATCATATCCTAAAACAGTATCTCCAGGTTTAAGAATACCACCAAGATGAGAACGAGCAAAAAATGTTTGATTGTTTCTTCCAAAATCTGAAGAACGCATTACTTGAATATCACCAAGAACATACTAAATAATCATAATAAACATAATAAAACATAATAAACATAACTATTATTGTATTATATAAATTATTAAAATTATTATATAATATACAAATTTAAGAAAATCAAACCTTGTTTCGCGTCACACCTAATTGTTCAACATCTAAAACATAATATTCTACCAAATTCTTGATAGTTGCTAAAGAATTAAATGGATTTCTCCAATATGCTGCATTGGTAATTTCGGATACTAATAAATAAAAAAATAAGAATAAATAAGTAAAAATAAGAATAAATAAAAATAAGGAAAATAAATAAATAAATAAAACATATAATAATAATAATAATAATAATAATAATAATAATAATAATAATAATAATAATAATAATAATAATAAATACCAGCTAAACTATTTGGGTCCATAATGTGTATAGTATTTCCAATTCGATTACAAAGAACTAAAGAACTGAAAAATTAAAATTTTAAATAATTTATAATTTATTATTAAAATAATAATTAATAATAATAATAATAATAATAATAATAATAATAATAATAATAATGTCCCTAACCTAATATTTCCTAATGATCGAGCAACTTTTACTGGTAAACAAATAAGATCATCTTTACATATAGGCACAATCTCTACTGAATATGTAAATTTCGAATTAGAAGTATTGTTACGAATATCAACCGAAATCAATTGTTCCGATGCCTTTGACCTGTAAATAAGGAATTAAGAACAAATTATATAAATTATGAATATTAGAAATATTAGAAAAATTAGAAATATTGGATTATTAAGAAAATCAAAATAAAACTCACTTAATTGGAACAATGGCATTTAAAAATTCCACAAATTTAATAGCATTAGATCTATGACTATAAAAAAAGTCAAGACCATCTTTGGCTTCTTTTATATTAATAGTATCTTTATGAGCATTATGTTTAAGAATAAGTTGTTCTAAAAAGAAAAATGTCCTTTTGTGATCAACTTTTTGTCTCACTTGAACAATTGCTTGCCAAGTGTTTTTAGCCATGACACGTGTACAATCGGTACATTGTTGATAATTCACAACAAATTCTACTTCAAAGATTTGTTGTAAAATAGTTGAGGTAAAAACCTATTAAAAATATAATTAAAAAATATATAAATATATAATTAAATTAAATTAAAAAAATATATAAATATAATTAAATTAAAAAAATATAAATATTTTAAATATTTTGAAAAATTCACCTCCTTTTGAATGGTTAATTTAACTTTAATTCTTCTTGAATGAGGTTCGGTCCAAATGAACCCTGCATCAATAAGTCTGACTTTACTCAATCCTTTCAATCTTTTTAAACAAAGAGCTAATAGATCTCGACTTTCCAAATCGGCCCGAATCCATATATTTGGAGGTTGTAAATATCTTTCACAATTTCGACAAAATAGCAATACTGCTTGTTTAGGAATACCTTCGGTTATGTCAACTTCATTTCGAATGCAATTAATGCACATGTTTGAAGGATTTGGTGCAATTGCAGTGCCACATTGGCAACAGAGACTATTATTGTGACATTGTTAGAAATTCTTAAGAAAATAATAACTAAGCTTAAAAATATCATTACGCACATTGACGGTTCAACTACAACAGGATTATTATATTGCATTTTGAAGAAGAAGAATATTATTATTAGAGCTAATAGTGTTACAGCAAAAAAAAATAAAGATATTAAAAGATTACGTAATTATGTAATTATTAAAGTTATTAAAATCAGTGTTACTTTAAGTTTAAAAGAATAAAAGAAATCGTGGGACTTTTTTTTTTTTGTTATAAAGTTCGTTTAGATATAATATCGTTTCGTGATATATTAATATATACTATATATACTATATATTATCTATTATCTTTACCAATGACCGAAACAAAGCCGCCAACTTCTAATTCTAATGAAGAAGTTTTACAGTTTTTGGAAACACTCGATACATACTCTCAAACCACGCAAACCACCAATCCAGCACCTGCAACATCTGGAGGTACATCAGCAGACACACAGTCTGTATTAGATTTTCTTGACCAAATTACTCAATCCAATACTACTGAACCAAATACCAAATCTGAAATTCAAGTTAATAATAATGGTTCTTTAAAGCAAGAACGTTTAGTAGCAGAACAACCAGAACAACAACAACAACCACAACCACAACAACAATTACAACAACAATTACAACAACAACAGGATAATCTTAGTGATGGTGGTGGTACTTGGTCGTGGGGTGGTTTTTTGGCATCTGCGACTACAGCTTATAAAACTGCAAGTAACGTAGTAGATACTTCTGTTAATCGTGCTTTGGCAACAGTGGAAACGGTACGAACTAATGAAGCTACTAAAAAATTAGAAGAAAGAGTTCGTGGAATTGTAACTAAAGAAACCATTGAAAAATTAGGTTTGTTATGATAATCATCATTTGTTACTTTGAATTATTACTTTTGAATTATTACTTATGATTTATGCTTTGAATTTTTGAATTATTTATTACTTTAATATTTAGGTTCAGATCTTAGAACATTAGGACTTAATACTCTCACTACAGTAGTAAATGCCGTAGTTCCACCAATTTCACAATATGAAATCGTAGAAGTTTGGTTAGCACATGATATGGTTGGTTATGTTGGAGTGGAATCACTTGTTTATAAAGCATTTATGAGAGTAATGGAACAAGTTGAAGGAGGTGATATTATAGTTCGAAAGGGTAATGAATCTAGAAAGCGAGATTCAGATTATGAATTTCATAATAAAGATTTAAATGTTTGTGAAGGATTTACTGAAGCTGTAGGTTTGGCCAAGGTAAAAATTAATTTAATTTAATTATTATTTCATTTATATATCTTTATTTATTTATTTATTTTTTAATTAAGGCTAATATAGAACAAATAATCAAGAAAAATTATAAACCCTATAATTTACAAGAAGAATCCTTTCAAATAGAATTACATTCACAAGAAATAGTAAAAGATAGTCCAACTACTGTTTGTCCTATTTTTATGGCCATTCAACCAACAAAAGCTAATCCTTGTTCTTTTTCTTCCAACATTACTGACAAAAATAATAATAATGACAATGATAATAACATTAATAATAACATAGATTTAGAACAGTATTTATTTTATGTTATTGTTTTAACTGATCCAACTCATAATTTAACATTTAAAACTTTCTCTCAAGCACTTCCAGTAAGTTGGTTAGATGTTCCATATGAAGAAAATGAATGGGTAGAAGCTAAAATGGTTTCTACTATAAAATTGGCAGTTCAAACTATTGCTCAAGATTATGTTTGGCATAGAATGACTGCAGGTGATGGATTACAATCACCTAATAATAACAATAACAACAACAACAACAACAACAACAACAATAATAATAATAATAATAATAATAACAATAATAATGATAATAATAATAATAATAATAATAACAATAATAAAAATAAAAGTAATAGTAATAGTAATAATGGTAATAATAATAATGAAGAAAAATCAAATATTGAAAATTAAAATAATTCTGACAATTACATATTTTAATTAAATATTTAATTTATTATTATTATTATTATTAATTTATTTTATTTTTTGTAATATTTTGTTTGTTTGTTTATTTGTTTGTATTTAGTTGGTTTTTAATTTGATAATAATTACAGTAATTACAGTAATTGAGAGTAATAAATTAGAAATTTATTATATATTAAATAAGAAATATTCTATTCTTTTTAACTAACTTGTTATTACTGTATATCTTAATTATTATACATATATTTGTTAATTATTATAGTTATTTTATTTATTTTTATCATTATATTGTCTCTTGAAAATTTTTGCACTTTTATTTGTAAAAAAAAAATCCAATTGTTTCCATTGAAAAAATTTGCTTATTATTAATTATTTTTAATTAAATAATTATATATTGAATTAGTAGATTAGGGAAATTTGCTTTGTGTACATAATGTGTATGATAATTTAATATGCTAAGAATTCCATTATTATTGTTGAAATTATTATTAAATATTTTAATTAATATCTTTGTCTTTTTTGTTGCAATAACTCAATTATTGCTATTATTATTATTATTATTATTATTATTATGATTATTATTATTGCTAATGTGTGATTATAATTGTTCTTTTGATTGTTATTATATTAAATTATTATTATCATCATCAACTTTTTTCTTCTACTTTATCTTGTTGTGGAAATTCTTCATCTATTCGTTCTTTAGCTGCAACAATTTTAGATTGTACATAAAATGATCCTCCACTAGAAACATCATTAACTTTAAATAAATGTTCATAATTCTAATAATAATAATTGAAAAAAATTAATTAGTAATAATAATAATTGAAAAAATTCAATTAATTAATTAATGATATATATTACCTTTGTTACTTGATTAATATCTACATCATTTTTTTTTATATTTAAAATTTTACAAGCTTCATCCATGGTCATTTGTGAATCTACTGCTGAAAATCTAGTGGCAGCTTCTCTTCTAATATTATTTTGATGAGAACTCTGAGCATTTTTGGCATCTAAAAAAAAAAAAAAAGAATTAAGTAAATGGGTGAATAAAATAGATCAAGTTTTGTCTGAATAATAAAAAATATATATATATATTTACTTATTGCTGCTTGTCTATATGCTGCAACAAAGGCATTTCCAAAGATTTTGACTCCTGTTACCACGATTTGACTCAATATTCTTGCTGCCTGTGAAATGCGAGTGTAAAATGAAAATGTAAAATTAATTATAAAATTTAATGTGATAATCTATAAAATTTACGTTGAGGGATGAAAAAGTTTAAATAAAAGACAAACCATTTTTTAATAAAAAAAAATTTTATTATAATATTTTCAATATTTTTTTTTAAAGAGAAATATTTTTTTTTTCGATATCTCATCAGTAACGGTGATTATAAATTTTTTTTTTATCATGACACAAATTCCCACTTTTCTAGATTTAGAAATTCACATAATGCAAAATATTTTAAAATATCACTATTATATTAGTAATTAAAAGAAATTTAGAGATATGTAGTGGTTCGGTTCGGTGAATTCATTTATAACAAATGTATCCTTTTCAAGTGATCTAATTTTTAATATTACTGTATTTCCATTATTACATCTACTTAATGATACATATGCCTTTCTGAATTTTGTGAACAGTGAATTGATTATTAGATGGTGAAATTCAGAATCATTATTCTTGCAATTGGTAAATTTGTTTTATGTTACAATTGTATATTCAAAAAAAAATGCTTAGAGTTGAGTTAGTTGAGTTGTAATAGTAATAAAATAATAATAATTGAATCAAACCATGTGATAAACTGGATAAAATGTAAAGATAAAAAAAAAATATATAGAAGAAAAATGAATCAATTCTCGTTGATGCTCCGGAATAACTATATATGGGTCTTACCAAATGTATCTGCTTCTTTACCTAATCTGTATTCTGATGACATCTTGCAGCAGAGTCACTATTGGCCGTAGTAAAAATCTTAAAAGACACGTGAATTTTAAATTTGGGAGAATTTATTTTTTTTTTTTTTTGTAAAAAAGAATGGCTTCTTCTGAAAGAGGAGGAACAATCCGAGAGTATATCGACGCTCGTAAAAAAGCCGGAATGACATGGTAATGAGTTGCACAAACAAATTCTCAACAATCGCTTTTTTTTTTTTTTTTTTAATTATACCTGGTCGCTAACTTTTGTCCCAAATAAATTTTGAAATTTTCTTTACTTCTGAGGGACGAATTTCGAAAGCTAAATGAAGGTCCTCAGTTTTCGGAGGCAGAGCTTGTCAAATATCGACAAAAATTGGATGAAGAAAGAGAGGCAAAATTGAAAGGCAGTTATGTAGGCTCGTCTTCAAGCAAAAAGAAAAAAAAGAGACATCGAAGACATAAAAGAAAAGAAGTATCTCGAAGTCGTAGTAAAAGTCCTATTAGAAGTAGAAATCGAAGCGAAGATGAAAATAGTGGTGATTATTCTGATAAAGATCGGGACCGAGTTGTAAAGGTATTCATCATCTTCTCCAGATATAAATATTTTTAATTTGGTCAATTTAAATATAACTTACTATAATTTTTTACTAACAATTTTTTTTAATTATTTTATTCTATTGTTAAACGTACATTTATAAATAAGGAAAAACGTCATAAAGATGGACGTTCAGCAGCAGATGGTGAACGAACAAAAAGACAAAAACAAAATTCTTCTAATGATGAGAAACATCATCAACATCAACAAAATCAACATCAACAAAATCAACATCACCATCAACATCACCATCACCATCACCACGGACATCACGTTCATTCACATAAGGTATGTAAATTTCGTATTTGATTCATATTAATGTGATATAAATAAATAAATAAATAAATAAATAAATAAATAACTTTTTATAATTTTCAAATTGAAATTTCCTTGGATAAATTTAACAAAGAAACATAAACATAAGCATAAAGTTCTCAAAGAGGAGGAGGAAGAAGAACACGGTGGAGATACTCCCGTCCGATTGTCAGAATTTCTTAAACATGGAAGTAGTAGCAGTTCGGAAGAATAGTGGAATACATTATTTTTTTTTCTTTTTTCTTGATTCTGGATTTCTTTATTTGATTCGGCCTTATCTTTGAAATATATATTATTCTATTATATTATGATTCTAAATTGTTCTGGTAGAATTTCATTTCTTTGTAATGCTTTATTATTGGAATTTTTTCTTTTTTTTTTTCTTTTTCTAAGAAGTTAAAAATAAATCAAAATGATTTTTATATTATTTTAAAGTAATCTAATTAACTAGTGATCTCATTGATCTGCAACGATTATTGAAAGTATTAAAATTAGGACGTATATCAACTTTATCGATAGTTCTAAGTTTTTGATTGAAAAAATTAAAAATTAGAAATTCATGAAAAAAAACAAAAAAATTGAAAACTTGTTTATTTTAATAGAAAATAATTTAAAATAATTAAAATAATTACTTTTTAGTCATTTCATCTTTCATTAATATCGGTTTTAAAGGACCCGCTACCATAATTATGCTAATAGCGAAAATTACAACTGAAATTAGGCATTCGACCGTAATCTAAAAAAGAAAATAAGAAAATACAATTTTGATTAATACAATGTCTAAATTTGAGAAAATTTCGTAAGGAATATTAACAACGATCCAATACCTCAATTGGCATTTCATTTGGAATTTTTTCAACGGCTTTAAGATATGATAAATCTTTTTAATATTTTGAGTTGAAATTTTTGTTAAGGTCAAATAATCTAGCATAAAATCGTTTAAAAAGAAATACAAAAAAAAAAAAAGTTTCAAACCATAATCAGACAATCACAACATACGTTCATATGTAGAATATGCTGAATGAAAAAGTGTCAAGAAACCAAACCAGCCAAGGAACTTTCCTAACGATACTATGACAGTCATGGTTTTTTTTTTAGAGATTTTTGGGCGGACGACAAAATTCTTCAATTTTTTCAATTTGAGATTTGTGTGACCTTTTAAGTATTGATTTTGATCCGATGATTGGCTGAATTTCGTACTAACATTTTGTATAAATTTTTTTAACAATGATATTACCTAATAAACCTTTTGAACTTGGAAATGTTTGAAAAATCACTCACAGATCTAATTCGCGGAATACGTGCAAATAAAAAAAATGAACAAAAATACATCGCTTCATGTCTTCAAGAAATTCGTCAAGAAATCAGAACCAATGACCCAGATATTAAAGCGACGGCAGTATCAAAACTAACTTATGTACGTGTTCTTAACTAGTATGAATTTCAAACATTATTGGAATAAATATAAAGAAGATTTATTGAAAACTTTTTCGATGGGATTATAATTAATGTAAATGACGCGTAAATATTTTTAACATTTTCTATGTCTGTTTTTCTATAGCTTCAAATGCTTGGTTATGACATGTCATGGGCTTCTTTTCATGTAGTAGAAGTTATGTCGTCTCCTAAATTTCCTCAAAAACAAACAGGATACTTAGCGGCAACGCAGTCTTTTGGACAAGATACCGATGTTTTAATGCTTACTACAAATTTATTTAAAAAAGTAAATATTTAACGAAAGGTCAAATAATTCAAGATCGTTTTAAATATTTTAAATATTTTAAAATATTAGAGTTAAATAAAATAATTAATAGGATCTCGCGTCAGGGAATCATCTTGAAGTGGGAATTGCTCTTAATGGATTATCCCATATTGTTACACCGGATCTTGCTCGCGACCTTTGTCAAGATCTAGCTTCTATGCTCAGTCATTCTCGACCGTATGTGAGAAAAAAGGTGGTGCTTGTTCTTTATAAACTTTTTTTAAAATTTCCTGAAGCTTTAAGATTAAGTTTTCCACGATTAAAGGAACGACTCGATGATCCTGATTCATGTGAGGTTTTAAGACTTTACATTCTAATATTTTATTAAAACTTAATTTTTGATTTCATAAATGTTGATATCTTTTTATAGCGGTTATATGTGCTGTAGTAAATGTTATATGTGAATTAGCACGTAAAAATCCAAAAAATTATTTATCTCTCGCTCCGCAATTATTTAAGTTATTAAATGCATCAACCAACAACTGGATGCTTATTAAAATTATTAAATTGGTATGTTTAAATTATTGTTACATAATACTAAAGAAATTTCAAAAATTTTTAAAGTCAATTTCGTTAATTTCAATTTCTATTATTTCAATTTCTATTATTTCAATTTCTATTATTTCTATTTATCTATAGTTCGGTGCTCTGACACCACTTGAACCTCGCCTTGCTAAAAAACTTCTACCACCAATTACACATCAAATACAAACGACAGCAGCAATGTCCTTATTATATGAATGTATACATACCGTAATCATTGGTGGCATGTTAAATTCAAGTGGAAATTCGGATTCTCTTGCCGCCATGTGTGTCAACAAGCTGAGAATCTTTTTGGAAGATCCTGATCAGAATTGTATCTTTTTTTTTTTAATATTTTCAAAAATTTTTTTCATTTATTATTTCTTATAGGTTTGTTTTTCCTTGACTGACAAGATTTTGTGACCCAGTGAAATATGTGGGTCTTTTAGCTTTATCTAAGATTCTTCCAACACACCCGAAACTAGTATCAGAACATCGTGATATCATTTTGAAATGCATTGACGATGCCGATATTAGTATTCGTCTTCGTTCGTTAGATTTGCTTGTCGGCATGGTAATTATTGTTAATATTATATTATTTTTAATACATTCATTCTTATTTTATAAGATTAGCTCAACATTTTTTTTAATTCAAAATTTAAGGTAAATAGGAAAAACCTCTTTGACATTGTCAAGCGATTGATGGCCCACCTTTTGCCAAGCAATTATAATGGTCCATCAACCGATTATCCCCCACTTTCTACTTTGCTTGAACCTGCCTACCGATCTGATATCATACACCGCATTATATATATTTGTTCTCAAAATTCATATAGTAATATAACGAATTTTGAATGGTATATTGCTGTCTTGGTAGATTTAACATACGTTGCTGGTGTCAATGTTGACGAACTTTTAAAGTCACAAATTATGGATGTTGGTGTACGCGTCAAAAGTGTGCGACAATATTGTGTTAAAACCATGGTAAGTTTCTTCTGACCTTATTTTATTTTATTTAGTAATTCACGAAAGTAATATCTTTTTCTTATAATTAGCAACGATTACTTTCAGACAAGGATCTTTTGGAAAATTGCAAACTTCCTCAGACAAATGCCAAAGTTCTTTATGCAGCGGCTTGGATTACAGGGGAATATTGCAGGTTGCTACGTAATAGCATATTTGAAATTTGGGATTTAGATGATAAGATGAATTTATTTATTCAAATTACTGACGTACTTTCTGATGTACTTTCTAATGTACTTTTTTTAGTTACTTGGAAAAACCTCTTGAGACAATGGAATATCTTGTGCAACCCGGTGTCACAAAGCTACCACATGAAGTTCAGGCTGTATATATACACAGTGTTCTGAAAATTTACGCTTTTTGGGTAACTAACTTGACTTATAATTGGGACGAAGATGCTAGAAATGAATTATTGCGGTTTACAGGAATATTGAAAGACAAAATCGGAATGTTTTGTTCATGTACAGATTTGGAAGTACAAGAACGAGTAATTATCACTATATTTTTTTTTTGTGAATTTTAATAATTATTATTTATATTAAACTATATTCTCACATTAATTAATTTAGGCATATAATATACGCGAAATATTTTCTATAATCCATCAAAATTTGACAACGACTGATTCTATATTCGAAGTTGAAAATGTTTACGGAAAACCACCAAAAGTTCTCTCTGAACTTTTCCTACTCTTTTTTTCTTATGAGCTTAATCCTGTAGCTCCAAAAGCTCAAAAGAAAGTTCCTATTCCTGAGGGATTAGATTTGGATAAGTGGATAAATGAACCGTTACCTGAATCAGAAAGTAGTGAGAGTGAAGAGGAAGAGAGTTACGGGTATGGGTATGGACAAAAACTTGGTGGAAGTTGGGATTTAATATTCTCAAGTGGTAATGGGACTACCATAGGAAGACGTAGGGGAAGAAAATCCAAAGAATATGGAAGCGAAGAAGATGAGAAAACCAAAGAAAGAGTAAATAGCGTTTGAAGTTTAATCTCCTATTTTTGTTTTGTTTAGTTTTTAAAAATTATTTCGCATCAATTTAGCGACGCAATGAGCGAAGAGAAAGGATTAAGAATGATCCCTTTTACATCGAAGTAAACGAAAAGGAGTCATTAAAACGAACAAATTCCAATGGATCTTCCAATCGTATTGCGGAAGATATTGATATTGATTCTATACCTATTGTACACTTAACAATGAATGAATTTGATTTTAAACGTAATTATATTTTCAGTATGTTGTATATTATATTTATTTATTATATTGATTTTTAACGTTTTTGAACCTAATTCATATTTATTTCATTAGGTAATAAAAAATCATCAAAACTCAAAAAGTCCAAAGGTTCTAAACAAGGGAAACAGCAATCTTCATCTTCACCCCCCACATCACCTATTATATACACCGACGTTGGTGAGATGCCAGAGAATGCTACTTTATCAGATGAAGAAAAAGAAAAAAAATCTATTGAATTAAATAAATCGTGGGATACTTTATCAAAGAAAAATGGAATTTTGGACATAGATTTTTCTGGAATAGCAAACGTAGATTTGTCAACTCCACTAGGAGATAATGAAAAACTTCCACAGACAGCAGTTTATCTTTCTCCCGAAGAAGTAAGAAGACGAGAAGACGTAAGAGCCAGGCAAAGATTAGAAGAAAGAAGATTAATTTTGGCTAATGAACGGATTTCACGATCCAATAAGACCAAGGTGAATATTTCGTGATATTGACTAATACAAAGTCCATAAAGTATGTCACACGTTTTAACTTTTCAATTTCTACACTTTGAATAGAGTGATAAATCTAAGAGAGCTCTGAGAGAAAAATCAAATTCTAAAACCTCACCTAAGTCAAAAAATGTAGAAATCGATGAGAAACCTTCAAAAGCGAAGGTTTCATCAAGAAAAAAGCGAAAGGAAAAAGATCCATCAAAGGAAAAAGATCTATCAAAGCAAAAAGGAAGAAAGTCTGGTCAAAAGGTAACATTATTGATATAAGGATTAATTTATATATATTTTCTGGATTTAATTAACATAAAATTTGTTTATTATTCTTATTGTTCATTAAGAAAATGAAAAATACCGCGATATCTGAAATATCTGAAATATCTACTACATCAACAAAAATTAATACAGAAGTTGGTGTCGTAGAGATATACGATAATAAAACACCAGCCAAGACATTAGTTGATTCGGACGATATTCAAATAGTAAGTAAATTTTGTCTTTTAATAGTAAACGAATCTTTCTTGCAAATAAACTATTCACCTACTGCCTTGTCTCTTTTGAAGATCTACACGCTGAGTTTAGGATCTCTTACGGAAGTTATAAACGAACCACCAACTATAATTGTAGAGTTCTCTCTTCATAATAAAAGTTCTCTTCGTTCTCCACTTTCTCAGATAGCATTTTCATTTGAATCAACATCAGACATTCAATTTGATAATACATTTATAGAAATAGAGGATATGTTATATTATGATGGAAAAAAGGACGTGAGCGTTAAATTCAAAGTTCCGGGAATAGTGGGAGTGGGTTTAAGTGTGTCTGGAAATGTTTCATACACAATAAAGGTATAAAATTTCACTGTTCTAAATATTCATTTTTTTTTTTTTTGACATCTCGTATTCACAAAAAATTATTGATTTTTATAGTCGGATGAAGAAATCAAAACAAATAATGATATTCCTATCAGATTTGAATTACCTCTTCCGGTATTTATGTTAAATGTGCCTCGCATCACTTCAGAACAATTTTCCACTTTAATTTCTCAAACATCAGAGTTTCCATTCACTGGATCAACTACCATTCGTCTAAATACAAGTAATTCGATTGAACAAGCTTTTCAGAATGAATTAATAAGATTAACAACAATTGCTACCGGAACACATATTGTAGAACAAGTACCCGGAGCAATAACAATTTATGGTAAGAGTGTTCAAGGGTATCAAGTTGCAGGATTGGCTAAATTGACCGTTGAAGATGATTCCGGCATTACTAAAAAGGCGAGCATTAAGATTGATATTAAATGTACAGATCAAGCATTCGTGGATGGGTTGATAAGAGAAATTGAACAATTGTTTCGAGAAGAACTTTAATAATTTAATAATATTCTGTGCATTTTTTTTTTATATATTTGAACAAATTTCACGGACACATTCTTTTTTTTTTATCATAGAAAAATATAGAATGAACATATTAATCATATTTAAAATTCAAGTTTAAATTGAGTAAACTTTATATTAATTTATTAATTTATATAAACTGCATATCTTGTTTCATTTGATTATTATTATTTCTACCGATAAATCATAATTAATTTAACAATTGTTATCACTTCATAAAAGTCTTGAAGTTACGTCATTCGAACCAATTATTGTTGCAAAACGGAATTTATTTGTGGCAATACTTTTTTAGATTTTCAGTTAAGAAACAAGAAAAACGAAAGAAATGAAAGAAACGGGAAAAATAGAGGAATTGGATTCATAATAATTGAAATCAATGTTTTGATATCATATAACCATTCTTTGATCAATTGTAAACAATCAATGCAATAAATAAATGATAAAATATTTACATTTATTAATAGGATTTTGTAATTCCTGATGACATACCTTTCTTGAATCATTTGTTTGATACATTTATCTAAATGAAATTAAATCTTTAAATTTTGCATAGTTGAAGAAAATGAGATTCAGGGGATTTATTATTTTTTTGTCTTATACTTTTATTATTCATTTGATCACTAGAATTATAGAGTGTAACTTTTATTTAAAGCAGACCAGTTTAAAATAAATCATTAATGTCTTGATATTTCAAAAATCTAAATATTTATTATTTGTATTTATATAATTTATAAACTGTGCAAAGGTAAACTGAGTTAACTTTCTTTTTAACTTTGATAATTGATCATTTAATTGAAAATCATGTGTTATTTATTATATCAAAACTCATATGTTCTATCAAAAATAATTGCCATAATAAAGGAAAATAAAATACACAATTACTTCTTTAGAACAAAAATTAGTGTGTTTAATAATACAAAATAAAAATTACATGACCAAAATCATTTTTGCCTTTCATTAATATCCAGGCTGATCCAATAGGGTATAGGGAATCATGCCTGCGGAGAGCGTGGAATATACAAATTATTTATTAGTGCTTATTTTATTATGCCGAATTAATTTGGGAAGCGTGAACAAAAAAAAAAAAAAAGGCTTTGGATATATGATTGCAAATATTTTTGTGAACGGTATAGAGTTCGTTGACACCTGTAATAGAGAGTTTTCATCTTTGCGTCTATTTTGAAGTCAAATTAATTTTAGGAAGCGTGATACAAAGAAAAAAGAGTTTTCATCCTTCGCACAAAAATGGGTTTTAAGGTAGACACATGATTTATCAATATTATGGTAAACACCTTTCGAGCATAACCACACTGGAGGTAATATTATAATTTTCTAAACGTCGATTTTACATATTATTTATTATTTAAAATAAAGATACATGTTCATATTAAATATATTATACCAGTCTTCTGAACGATCCCATCGTTCAATAAAAGAGATTTCCTATAAATGAAGTTCATAAAAAAATATTATCTCATTATTTTACACTAAAGATTTTAAAAGGTAATTATAATTTTTAATAAGCGTCCAATGTTATATTTAAAAATAACTTTTATATTCTTATTCAATAAAAAATATACATACAATGTAATTTAGAATTATTAAATAAATATATACTTATATATATATATTTTAACAAAATATTTTATGTGGGTAATTAATGGTAATTAATGGCAATTATGTAATGATGATATTTTCCCTGTGTTGATAATTCCACATTGACAAATGAAATCTCTTGGTAAAATTATATTCTGTGAAAAGGATTTGAAGAATATCTCTTTGTATTTGCATTAAAAAGTATTTGAAATACTTGAATTTACATATTAATTCATCTATTAGTTGTAACGCGGTAGATTAGATTTTTCTAGTTTTAGCAAGCTCTTCTACGTGTTTATTGTTTTGACAGTTTCATTTTTGTACCTATTTCACAATTTAAACGAACGAGGTTAAAAAAAAACTAAATCTTTTTTCATGAAATTTATTTTTGAATCGTCCGTTATCATATTTATTATAAGATCGATAATATAACATTTTAACCAAAATTGTCTCTTCTTTGAATTCATTCAAAAGTTGCACCTAACTTATTACTATTACAAAATAGTCTCTCTCAAGTATAACTTAAGAAATAATTTATTAAATATTTCTAACGTCTTATCTACTTATCACTCATTAATCTCATAAAGCCAATAAATTTTAACATTGTCACTGTTCATCGAATTCATGAATACATTGCTTGATATGAATATAGATTTCTGATAATAATAATAATGAATCACAATCACAAAATGAAAAATGAAATATTAATATCAATAATATGTAAAGATGAAAATTGACCGAAAAATTTAAGATGCGAAACGTTACGACAAATTATTAGAGGAAGCACAAAATATTTGTTTTTACAAAAAAAAAAAAAGAGATGATTTTCTTTTTTCATTTCAATAACAATAAATTTAACTCGAAAAAAAAGCTCAATTTAACATCATTAGTTTTACTAGTCATTTAATCAATTCAAATCCGAAAATGTCTCCAAAATTAAAAGTTACACCTGAGCCATTGTAGGTAAAATTTTATTATTGATTAATAAAAATTATACTTCAATAAGTAAGATAATAATAACGATAAGGATCATAGTTTCATAAATTCTATAAATTCAAAATTTCATAGTAAAAAATAAATTCGATAAACTATAATAATTCAATAAACTATAATAAAAGGTAAACTATAACTATGACTATAATAAGCGATAATTCTGTAAATTATAATAATTTTTGACTTTATTTAAAGGCAATATTTATAGACAATAAAAACCTTCTATTACCTTTTTTTTTTATTTTTTGTTTTTAAGTTTAACTTTAATCCAAATTGTTTGATTGGTTTTAATTCTATAAACCAAATAATAATAATATAATAATAAATAATATTGAATAATATTAAAGAATGATAGTAAATAATTTTCCATTCAATATTTCACTCATTTTACTCAGGAACAAGAATATTTCCTGCTTCTATAAGCCTTTTCATAGTAAATGAAGGGTGAGGAAGAACTATAAATCTAGTCGGGAGATATCCCACATCTTTCATATTTCTCACGTTTATTATTATTATATCATTAATAAAAGGCGGGAATCTATTAATCTATTAAAATTCATTAACTTTCTATAACTTTATCTGTTGTTATTCACGATTGAACTTTCTATAACTTTATTTTACCATAAAAAACTCTTTAATGACTTATATTAATATTATTATATTTATTCAAGTTTATTGAATATAGTAAGTAGTAAATGTGATTAGTAACTTTATATGTATTTCATAATTATAATGACCGTTTATCTGTTGGTTATGCATTTTTACATCGATTTACATCTCCCTCCTTTCGATTTTTTTTTTTCATTCAAAATTTTTACTGTAACGTTAATAATAATAGTTAAATGTTAGTATTATTAGATAAACAATTTTGTAAATGATTATATAACCAAACTTTTTATTTTTTTAAACAATTATATAACTAAGTTTTACGAACACAAAGATTATTTATTTATTTATTTAAACGGTAATTTGTTATTTATTTATCATTTGTATTAATTTGTATTATTATTATTTGTTAATATTTTTTCATTGGATTTTATATATAGAAAATATTTTATTATATTATATAATATTTATGGTATTAAAAATAACTTTATAGAAATTGAGTATACATGTACATATTGAATATATATATATATATATAATCAGATATACATTATATTTATAATTGTGACGAAAAAACCAGAACGCACACATGTTAATTATATTAAATAGATTATTTAATTTTAAATAAATCAAATTAATAAATAATGATTATGAATTTTAATTTAATTTTTCTTGAGATAAACGAAATTTTTTAAATTTAGTTAATAAATAAATATTATTAATTTAATAGAAAATGTTGATTTAAATGATTTAATTGAATGTTAAACGTGTCATTTTCTATTTTGGTCTGCATACAATAACATACCATAATGTACCATAATGTACCATAATGTACCATAATGTACCATAATGCGATACATCAATATTACTAAGAATAAAAGTAATATAACTTATTAAGAATTTTCTTTCTTAACTTTCCATAAAGGTTCATGATTATTTTTTTTAAATATTGTGATAATGGCGAGATGAAGAATGTTTACGAATGTTTATGAATGTGAATGTTTATGATTGCGAATGTTTATGTATGTGAATAACTTTTTTTTATGTGAATTTTAGGGAGAAACAAAAAGAAACAAAGGAAATAAGTAAAGAATAAAAAAAGATGATGATAAAGGATAAGGATAAAGATAAAGATAAAGATAAAGAAGAAGATGACGACAACGACAAAGTAAGTAGTTTACATTCCAAATAAATAAATAAATAAATAAATAACAAAAATAATAATAATAATAATTCTAAATAATAATAATATTAAATAATACTAAACAAATACTAAATAATAATAAACAATACTAAATAATAATAAATAATAATAATAAATAATAATTATAAATAATAAATAATAATAATAATAATAATGCTAATGCTATCATCAGAAATTTTACATTTTTCTAAAAAAAAATTCCATTCTTAAAAATGCGGTACATACTAAAACAGGAATTTGAAACAATAGCATAATTTTAAAGGTATTATGATGATGGCGGTGAATGATAATTTTATTTTTTATTTTAATTAATTTATTTTAATTTATTTTTTTTATTTATTTATTTTAATAATTTATTAAGTATTTATTTAAGATGATGATTGATTGATGCGGGATTTATTCAGATTTGGAAATATTTATTTACTTAGCTAATATATTTATTTACTTAGCTATTACCATAAAAGATAAGAGAATAGAAATCTGGAACTGTAAAACGACGATAAAACAATATGACAGTTAACAAACAGTAGACAATAGATACAGATGACATAGGTGACAGATATATATGTTGTATATAAATAATATAGATGATAGAGTGCATGACTTATAATGACATATTATAGGGACAACATATAAATACATTATAAATAGATGATAAATAAACAGTATGACATATTTAGAATTATATATAGATGTCATAGCATACATAGATAGATAATATATAAACGCATGAATAAATATAAATAAATATAAATAAATAAATAAATAAAATAAAAAAATAAATAAATATTTATGTATAAATATATATTAAAATGAATAAGATGATGTAATGTCAACCGTCATAAACATAAACTTGACATATATGACCCATAAACCGACAAAAAAAAAACTTAAAAATACATATTTATTATGAAAAAAAAAAACGAAATTCATTTCTTTATTAATCTATTCAATTGTTGTAATGCCTATTGTTCAAAAAAAAATACATATTATTTATCAACATTTATGCTTAATAAAAAAGGTATGTCAATAATGCGTTTGTGTTGCGTGCGTGTTTATTGTTGTTCTCGTTGTTGTTGTTGTTGTTGTTGTTGTTGTTGTTGTTGTTGTTGATAAATTGTTGATTATAGTCAGTAAACAAATGATAACAACTATTAAATTAACTAATTTAAATAAATTGAATAAATTGACTAAATTTAAGAATTAATTAATGATAATTATCTAAATTAATTTAAAAAAGAAACGTAAAAATATAAACGTTAAAATAAATAAGGTTTATAATATAAAAAAAAATAACTCCCATTTTTGTAATAAATATATTTCTAGAATCAGAACTATCAAACTAGAATTAAACTAGAACCAACTAGAATAAAAACTGGATTTTGATAATTCACAAAAAGCCTTGTGTTCAAAACGTTGACTACTAAAACAAGTATTATTCACTAATTTTTACTAATTTTAAATTTCCCCCACATTTTTTAATTATTTTAAAATCATCATCTTAATTATTATTATTTATTAAATTATTTTAATTTAAGCTGTACATTATTTATTTATTTATTTATTTATTTATTTATTTAACATTGCATCGCCACGATCTGCGTTATTATATAATTAAATAACCATGATGGTAATAGCCATAAATACATAAATAATGATAATAATAAAATATAATAGGTAACATTCTTTATTTAGAAAATGATGATTAAAATTTACTAACATGATAACACACTAATAACACAATAACATTACCAATAACACTACTAATATTACTAATAACACAATATGAGACACGATAAGGATACACACGCATAACGTAAGACGTTAATCCAATATTCTTTTTTAAAAAAAAGTTAGAATGAAATTAAAAAATTTTCATCTAACATATAACAGCATATAATATTCAGCATATATTCACACGTATTCAATTTTTTAAAAAAGTATTTTATCTTAAATATCTTTGACGAAGTACCACGGATCTAATTTTTCCGACCAATAACAAATATAACAAATTATACTAAATTATACCAAATATACCAAATCATACCAAATCATATCAAATTATAATAAATTATAATAAATTAAAATAAATGATAATATTCGTGTTTTTTTTTTAGTGATACCTATTTATCGATCCTTTTTTTTATATTAATTTGCATAATAACCTGAAACATTTTTTCTTGTTTTTTAGACGAGCAACTTTGGTATTATTCTCTTTGTACATAAAATTATGTGTTATCCAATAAAGTGTTTTTTTTTTTTTGTTTCAGCGAGGTCGGGTCTTGTGTTCCGATTTATATGTGTGTGTACCAATATTTGTGTATACAATGTTTTGTGTATCCAATATGTATATACTAATTTATACTTTGATACTTCATATTAATTGGTTCAATCTCTTTTGTTTTTGTTGTTATTTTTGTTTTGTGTGTCCGTGTTGTTGGTGGAGTTAGGTTGCCAGTTTTTTAAAAAGTATATTATTATTATTTTAATTATTTTAAATTATTCTAATTATTCTAATAATTTTAAATTTTTTAAATTATTATTTGATTATTTTGATTATTTTGATTATTTGATTATTTGATTATTTGATTTAATTATTTGATTATTTATTTATTTTATTTGATTTTATAGTTTTATAGTTTTTATAGTTTTTATAGTTAGCAATAAGTTGATAATAATAAGTTGGACACAGTATTGAATTATAAATTAAGTAATTGATTGTATTTATTTTGATTTATTGATTGCGGGATCTACATTTTTTTGAGTAATGAGTTTGGGTTTCGTGGGCGAGGTCCTTTCTTTAAACATATCCATTTCTAGCTTGATTAATGAATCCTCTTTGACAACGATATTATATCGGTGATGATATTATATCAATAATGATGTTATATTTTTAATGACAATAACAAAATAATAGTTATTATAATTATTATAATGATAATGATTATAAATGTTTATTATAATAATAATAATAATACTGTTGTTTATAATAATACTTAACAATACTTATACTGTTTATTACTGTTTATTGAGAATGAGGATTAAAACCATTTATGATTTTAATGACTTCATCATGAATGTTTCTTTCATTTTATTCCATTTTTCATAAAAAAGTATGAATTATTATTATTATAATAATAATAAAAACAACAACAAAAACAACAAAAACAACAATAAATAATTTATAAAATAATAATTAATAATCTATAATAATAATCTATAATAATCTATAATAATAATAATATTATTATTATTATTATTATTATTAAAGGAAGATGAATGAATAAAATAATAAAGAGAATAAATGATCAAGCTAACAATAATTCAAATTAAAGTTAGTATTATTTATAAGATATTATGTTTTGTGTATCACTCATATTTTATTTAAACATATATATTTATACGTTATTTCATTCTTTTTTTTTTTTTAAAAAAAAAAACAGTTTTCTAAAACAATTTCATAGATTATAACAAACGGTAAGCATTATAATTCATTATAACTTTGACGAGAAAAAACAACAAAGAAACCATATATAAACAGAATAATAAATTTAATAAATAAAATAGGTAAATACAATAAATATAATAAATAAATAATAGGTAAATAAATAAATAATAGGTAAATACATTTACTGATTATATGTGGTGTGTGCGTTTTAGTGTAAGTATACTGCGTCAACTTGTGTTATTTTTCCTGAACCTATATATAAATAAATATAAATAAATGCGTTCATTTTTTCACCATACCTCTCTCTCTCTCTTTTTTTCTCTTTTTTTTTTTCCTCTTTCTCTTTTTTTCCTCTTTCTCTCTATTTCCATTCCACTCACCCATCACCACCGTTACCATCGCTACCATCACAACATTACATTAATACCAATATATTTAATACACCACAAAAAATACTGTTCGTTCGTATTTTTGTAACAAAAAAAAAAAAGGATTCTTGTGTACCTGGAAATTTTATGCGTGTTTGATCGACTTTCTTCAATTTATAATATTTATAATAATAATAATAAATTAAGTAAATATATTTATATTATTTATTATATTCATTTATTATATATATTATATTCATTTATTATATATATATTATCAACAATATAAATTATCAAATATATATAATAAATATATAATAAATATAATAGATAATATAATAAATAATAATATAATATATATTAATAATATATATTCGAAAGGAGATTGGCGAAGGAGACCGAATGAGAAATAATTTTTTTTAGTCAGCAGACCAATCAATTTCATTTTTCATTTTTTTTTTCGATTTGATGATTTTAAAAAAAAAAAATACCTAAAAAATCACATTTTATTCACATTACATTTGTTCATTCGGTCATATACTTCTTATTTATATTTATATACTACATTCTACTTTACATAAAGTATAATTAATTAATTATATATATCTTAATCGTACTTCGTCTAACCACCCGCCATTTTTTCTGCATTTTCTGTGTATCATCGTTCATCATCAATTAATCCCGCCAAAAAAAAAAAAGTCAATAGAATTTCTCCAAACAAACAACAAGTAAAACTACTAACCATCATAAAAAAATTTAATACGTCTAACAAAAAGGAGGTAAGTTTTTCCCTTTTGATTAATTTTTTTTTTCTTTTCTTCCACTTTATTTTTTTCTTTTCTTTTTCTACCATTTCTTTCCGCTTTCATCTTCTCTTCCTACTACCTTCTTCCTACCTTTTCTCCTTCTCCCCCTTCTTCTATTTTCTCTTTTCTTTTTTTTTTTTCCCTTGACCTTTTTCAAGATTTTTAAAGAGATTGTCAGTTTTTTATAAGTTTTATAATAAGTTTTATAATAAGTTTTAAATTTTTCTTAATAAATTTTTATCATTTCAAATTCCTTGAAAGCTCTTTCGAAAAGTTGACTTTCTCTTTACAAAGGAAATATTTTTTCCATTTTTATTCCTTTTATATAATAACCTCATAATATTTATATAAAAAAAAAAAAAAAAAAAAACAAAAAAAAAATTTTTAAAAATCACACACACATATATATACATCAAATATCTTTTTTTTTTTAATTCCTAAAAGTAAAATATTATATTTACACAAGTCTTAATAATAATAATAATTTAACAAAATAACTTTTCAAATAATTTTAAAATAACTTTTATCAAATATTTTTAGAAAACAAACCCCCCGAAAAAAGAATTTCTTATTAATATAATAGAAGCATAACTTCTCTTTCTTTTCTAAGTTTATTAATTTTTTAATTTTAATTTTAATTTTTTTTTTTATTATTGACATTTAATATTATTAATATTACTTTTTTATGTAAATTTTATTATCATTTTTTATTATTATATAACTCACTCCATATAAACTATAATAACCCTCAAACCTTTTTTTAAAATATTAAAAGTATCAAATAATCCTACAAAAAACATTAAATACTAATCAAATATCATAAATACTTTCATTATTAAAAAAAAAGTATTTATTATAGTATTGAACGAACGAACGAAATAAATCAAGTTCTAATAAATAAAGATAAAGGAACACGACCAAAAAAAAAATATAACCGTTTAATTCTAACAGGTAAGGTTATTTCTATTTATTCCATCCGGTTTTTTTTTTCTTGCTTTTTTTTTTTTCTTGTTTTTTCTTTTTGGTTTTATTACGTCCCCTTTTGGTGCCATTATTTTTTTTTCTCGTTTATTAAAAAAAGACACAATCATAATCAAAAATAATAATAATAATAATAATAATAATAATAATAATAATAATAATAATAATAATAATAATAATAATAATCATCATCATCATCATACGATAACAACAATAAGAAAACATTATCACCGTCATCTCAATTAATTATCAATTCATTGTCAATTAAATTCATTATCAATTCAATTCATTATCAATTCATTATCATAAGACGAATTTATTAATCATAAGACAAAAAATGAGGCACAAGAAGACGAGGCAAAGCAGAAAGAAAGAAAATAATAACTCGGATATATAAAAAGAAAAAAAAAAAGGAAGAAAATCTGGACCCAAGAAAAAGAGAGACAAAAAAATGAATTCATTAGGAAAACGAATGAGAACAAAAAAAGAATATCTTTTTCACAAACCGCTACTTTTATAGTATATCTACGTGACGATGATGATTCCAAAAAAAGCATTTGATTGAACGAGAATGCACGTGCCAACACCTTTATGCACCTTTATGCACCTCGTACATGATGAAATAATGAAATGTGAAAAGAAAGAAATGAAAGAAAATAAAAAAAGTAAAATTGAGAATTGAATTGAATTAATTGAATTGATGAATGATATTTTAAATAATATATATTTATATTTAGTGTAATTATAATTCATAAACAAACGAAAGAGATATGAAAAAGAGATACGAAAGATAGAAAAAAAAAAGAAATGGATAAAAAATAATAATAATCGTAATCATAATAATGACAATAATCATAATAATAATTAATAATAATAACAATAAATAATAATAATAGATATTTGAGACATTGTTGTTTTTCAGTTATTCTTTACGATTTTGGGATATGCAATATGCAAGATTCAACTTAACCAGCGTGTTAGTCAATATTTTCGACATATAATTTTTTACAATTTTGAACAATTTCAACAATTTCCTTCTTTTTTTCACACTTACACACACACACGCACATAATTTATAACCACAATATCCAATTTTTATAATATCTATCATATTCTCTCTTCTTTACTTCTCTCTCTTTCACATATATACACACACATATCTTACACACACATCTTACACACACATCTTACACACATAATTTCATACATACTATCACGTACTATCTTAGGTTTTTTTTTTTTATAATTAAAAAAAAAAAAATCGGAAATTTTTTATAAAAAGGCACACCAAATTTGACACTTTGTTTATTTTTTTAAAAAAAATTAAAAAAAAAATTTTTATCTTTAAACAAATATATATATATACACAATTTTACGTAGTTTTAGAATAGTTTTGTATAGTATTGTATAGTGTAGTTTTATTTGTAAAATATTCTTTTTTTTTCATATTTTTTTTTTTTTGTTTCTTTTCTTTTATATATATTTATATATTTATTTTTTACTTAAAAAAAAATTTTTTTTTAAAAATTCGAATTCTAAAAAAAAAAAAATTTTTCTTTTCATTTTTTAATCATGGTGAAACCAACAACTCCCAAACCATCAGTTAAAAAACAACAGACTAAAGCTCCACTTTCACCGCAAGCTTCTTCTCGTAAGCCATCCCTCAAAACAGATAATAATAAAACAACAACAGCAGAAGATAATAAATCTAAATCAAAACTTGAGAAAACTGAAAAAACTGGGAAAGCGGAAAAATCAGAAAAATTACAAAGATCACAAAAATCTGAGAATATTGAAATAATTGAAACAGTTGTTAACCTTAACGAGAATATTTATAATAATAATAATTCTAAAAACGAATCAGTCGAATCATTCAATATAATTAGTGAAGAACCTGTTAGTATTGAAAAAAATAGTGAAATTGAAGAATCCGTTATATTAGTTAATAATAATAATATCGAAGAAAAAGAAGAAATTATTAAATTCGAGAGTACTAAATTACAATCTCTTACTCCTCCGCCTTCACCACCTCTGCCAATTACTAATACCGATTCTCTTAATTCAATTACTACTGATCCACTTGATAATAACAATACTACCATCACTGATTTTACCACTGATTCAAATACACCCGATAATAATATTCTCAACAATATTCCCGATAATAATAATAATATAAGTTCATTACCAAACGAAGAAGAAGAAGAAAAATTAAATAACAAAAAAAAATCTTCATCGTTATTATCATATATTGTAACGTACGACGATCTAGAACCACCATTACATACCTTTAATTATAATACTACTAACATAATGCAAAATCTTGAATACGAAGTTATACATGCTACCGGTTGGGATGAAAATTATTCACCACAACAACTTTTACCAAAAGATAATAAAAATAGTAGTAATAATAATAATAGTGGAGGAATTAAACATGGAAAGGGATGGCAATCTGCAAGGTAAAAAAATTAATTAATCATTTATTTATTTATTTGTTTTTTATTTATTATTTATTATTATTTTTCCGTTTTGGTTTGGCGGAGAAATATTGAGAGAGATATATATATATGGAAATATATATAGAGAATATAGTTTATCTTTATTTATCTTTATTTAGTTCATTCAGAAATCATACGCATGCCGAGTGCAACGTATTACATAATTTACATATATACTATGTTAAATATTTATGTTAAGTCACATGATTACTAATTATATATATATATATTTTTTTTTTTTTTACATATACATCTTTAAATTACAATACACATATATATATTTATATACGTATATTATATATATTGAATACCCCAAAAAATATATTTATATATAAAAGACTTTGTGCATACCCACAAGAGATTATATTACATGTTAAATGTGGACCTGCTCGAGTTCGTAAATTACAAATATTATCACATCATTATAAGATTGCCAAAAAATTAGAAATTTATGTTGGATCCATACAACGACGAAAGGAAATGGTGGGAATGGCAACGAACACTGGTGAAAAAAGGACATTGCCATGGGATAAATTACCTAAAATATTAGATAATGATGTGATAGGCTCTGATGAAGAAGAAATTAATGAAGAAGATGATTATGATCTTATTAAATCGAATAGTGAACCTTATATCCATTTCCGAAGATTAGGGTGAATAATTATTTCGTATATTTATCTCATCTCGTTATTTATCTCGTTATTTATCTCATTATTCCATCATTTTTGTTAATTCGTTATTTTTTTTTTTGTTAAAATTTATTATTATTATTATTATTATTATTATTATTAGATATTGTCCACTTGATAGTAACGAACGAGCAAATTACAAGGCCCGAGAATTAAAATCAGTTCGGCTTGATACTGAATGTGAATATATACGACTAGTCTCTCGTCGTTGTCACGCAAATCATCTAAACCAATTTAATCAAGTATGTTATTATCTTTTTTGTTTGTTTGTTTGTTATTATTATTATTATCAAATATTAAATTGATTTATTTTTCATTAATTTTATCAATAATAATAATAATAACAGGTTGGTATCGTAGGGATAACAGTTATGGGTGAACCCGTCGATTATTTACTCGCAGGTGAAAGTCAAAAAATTCCGATAGAGGTAAAGATTGATAATTTATTAATTTTTTTATTCACGAATTGGAAAAATTATGAATTATGTCATTCAAATATTAATAAACATTCTTTTTTAGCATGTTGACGAAACTTTGTCACGTGTATCATCACCCGAAACATGTATGGTCCCGGTCATTCAAGATAATCAGTGGATGATAAATAATAATCCCAATGACCAAAGAAATGTTGCTTCACTTTATTCAGTTCTTCTGACCAACAACGACAACAACAACAACAAAGACAATAATAATGACAATAAATCATCTTCAATGAATAATAATTCCACCGCGTCATTACCCTCATCACCGAAAAAGGTTGCAGATCCTTCCCTCTCTAATGATTTCTTATGTAATGGTGAAGAGACGGATCAATTAATTGCGGCTTATAATAGAGCAAAACAATCGGCGGTGAAAGGTTTGTTTTATTTAATATAATTTACACACACACACTCTCTCTCTCTCTCTCTTTCTCCCTTATCTATATTATATCTATTTATTTTTTTAAAAAAAAAAATTAGTGGAAGATTTCCATTTGGCCAAAGTTCTTAAATATGCGATCGAAATGGTTACAAAGGTATCAATCATTTATTATTAATCATTATTATTATAATAATAATTTATTATTTTATTAATCATTTTAAATCTTTTATATTAAAAAAAAAAAAGGCTGCCGAAGATGCAATTAAACTTGATGCATTGAAAAAACAAGCAGTTGAAGAAGAAGATTTTGATAACGCTGATAAATTTAAAGTAATTATTATTATTATTATAACATATTATAATACACATATATAAAATAATATTATTATTAATTAAATTTTATTATTATTCATTCATTTAATTAATTAATCATTTATTTATCAGCGCGAACTTGAAACATTGAGATCAAATGTTCGTTCTGCATTATCAGATGAAGGATTGGAATTAGATGAATCAGGAGAAGTGGTTGTATACGATTCACAATTAGCCGATATCGTCGGATTGGCCGATGATGCCGAAGATACTATTGAGGTTAGTGTTGATAATAATGATATTAATAAATTTAATAATGACATGAGTAACATGGATAACATGAAGATTTCTGGAATTCCCGGAATTTCTGATTTTGGACAAAATATTCAAAATGTTCAGAGCACGATGATGAGAGTACGATGATGTCATGTATATATATATATATAAAACGTGTAATATAGAAAATAGTCAAAGTTATTAGAGAAAATTTAAATTATATTATTCTCTCGTGCATAAATCAACGCGTTATTATTTTCTTTGCTGTGCGAAGAATTTCTCGATTATTTTATTTATTATTTTTTTATTATTTTATTTATTATTTTATTTATTATTATAAATTATGTATATTTATAAATTTATTTTCTTCGATTTTATTTATTTATTTATTTTAAATAATAAATTCATACGGATATATATATATATATATACATATATTTATAGATAGATAGATAGATATTTAGATATTTATTTATATGTAGTTTATATATATAGAAGTAGGGTAGAGATTCTTTGCTTACGTATTTGTAGTTAGATGTAGATGTGTAATTTCTTTATGTTTTTATGCATGCAAAGTTTCTGTATTTTTCCTTTAATGTAGAAATCATATTTACCAGATATTATTATTACTAAACATAATAGGAAACTACTGATTTCCCTTCTGGAAGAGAACATCAGTATCAATCATTACCAAAGAGTCGAACAAACTCTTCTTCTTCATTTGGAGGAAATCGAATACCAAGATCTCCCATAATGACTCCCATGACTTCTATATTTCCCGTTGATCAATTTGATGATCGTCCAGATGAATTATCAGAATTGGAAAGATCCGCATTTGCTTTATCAATTCAATACTATGGTGAATTTATTGTAGCTTGTTTCTTATCAAAAAAATTATCTTTACGTGATGAAGCATTGGTTGATATAACAAAGAGAGTTGATATTGTTTATGGCGATGGTAAAAATATTGAAGATATTGATAAAGTGAGTAATTCTTTTTCTTTTTTATATTTTTTATATTTTTTATACAATATATATTTTTTTTTAATATATATGATTATTAATTATTATTTTTTTTAATAGATGGGATTAATTAAAGCTACTTTCCAAATCATACAAGAAGCCATGAATGATAATCGTGAAAAAAATACCTTGGCAGCTATAACTCTTTGGGAAACACTTACAGGTAAAAAATATTAATAATAAAATAAAATAATTTTAATCATAATTTTAAAAATTAATTCTAATCTTTTCTTTTCTTTCCTTTTTTTTTAAAAAAAAAATAAAAATCAAAATAAGATTTCTGTAATTATCATCAAGTACCAATACCTTCAACTTGGAAATTAGTAGAGCATACCTATGATTTATTATTTATAAAGATTACAGATTCAAATGCACGCATAAAACAAAGTGCCACAGATTTATTTTGTTATCTTTCAAAAACCTATCGAAGTTCAAATTATTCGATCATATCATTGGTTCTTAAACCGGCTAAAACTACCAGTCAAGCACTTAAACCCGCAAAAGCAAAAGTTGAATTGGCTATAAAATTGGTAAAAGAATTTGGTATTTCTTTAAATCAAAAAAGTAATAAAATGGATAAAGATCTTGGTTTGAATCTTGAGGTTAGTTTTATTATTATTATTATTATTATTATTATTATTATTCACTTTTATCACTTTGAATAATGAAATTAATTTATTTTAAATAGATCGTTATGCAATTTGCTATTTCTTATCTTAATAATAATAATGAAGAAGTTCATGATTACGCTGTAATACTTGTTGTAGAAATTGTCAAATTAGTTGGTCGAGAAAAAATTGAAGGATTTTTACCTGATATTAAACCTAAACTCTTGGAACATATTTGGAATTTAATTACTGAATGGGAAGGAATAACCGGTAAAATTGCTGGTCATATGCCTTCACCACCACCTTCACCTAAATCTGTAGTTAATAATGCTCTTACTACAGAAGAAAAGCAAATTTCATTAGAAGATTTTACTGTGGATGCAAATTTACTTAATCAACCATTAGCAAAACGTGGAACTGTAACAAGAATTGAACAACAATTAAATGAATTACGTTCATTAATGAACAATACTAATAACATTATAAAAGATGATTATGAAACCTATATTGCTAATTCTACTAAAAATATATCAAATAACGAGACGATAATAATAGAGAATGAAGAAATTCCTAGTACTTTGCCTAGTGCTCAACCTAGTCGTAGTCAAACTCCTATTCCTCCTTCCGCCAAACATACTGAATCTACTAATAAAAAACCTATTACACGTGGAAGTAAAACTGCTGCTGCTACTACTGCAAATAGTAAATCTACCAAAAAATTAAATGATAATACTAAAACTTCTACCTCTAAAACATCTACGAAATCCAATACTACTTCATCTACCAAAAAAGGCTTAACTGAAGAAACTAAAAAGAGTCCCCGAAAAAATTCAAGTATTTATTATCTTTAATCTTAATCTATTTTCGAGATTAATTTTATTGATTAATTTTATTGATTAATTTTATTGATTAATTTTATTGATTAATTTTAATAGATCCCGCTCCAATATCTGATGCAACACTATGTGACCAACCTGATGCAGACAGGTAATTTTTTATTTCATTTGTGCAATATATATATATATATATATATTTTTTTTTTTACATAATTCTTTCAATACATTTATCTAATTTATTATCATTTTCATTTTTTTTTAAAAAAAAAAAAAAAACATAGATGTTGTATTTTCTGTGATGAGCAAAATGACAGGTTCACCGAAGAAAATTTGGTAACACATTATTGGAATGATTGTCCAGTATTAACCAATTGTCGTTTATGTAATATCGTAAGTAAAAAAAAGTTTTTTTATTTATCATTTTTATAACTTTTAAAATATCTTACAATTTAAGTGATTTATGAAATTGATAATGTATTATTTATTATTTTTTAGATCCTTGAAATTTCTACACTCGATGACCATATGTTAACAGATTGTGATAAGAGGAAATTTGTAAAACAATGTCCTCGTTGTCGTGAAGTTATTGATGCTGATGATTTCTTAGAACATACTACGAAACAAACATGTTTAGTAATAAGGGATGATATAGTTCGTTGTCCACTTTGTAAAACTGTAGTTAAACCTGCTACCGAAGCTGGTTGGAAAGCTCATTTATTAGATCTTAATGGATGTCCCAAGAATCGTAGAAAATCCAATAATAATAACAATAATAATAATACTCCAGTTTCTCTTCCTACGATTAAAGAAGTATCTTCAAATGCTATTGTCAATAGTAATGGTGTTAGTAAAAATAATATAAAATTGGGAAGTGGTAAACGTCCAACAGCAAAAAGTGATTCACCTAAAGTATCATCGACAGCTTCGAAAACTGCATCAAGTCGAACTAAACTTACTGCATCTAGTGGAAAAGATAAAGTCAAGAAAACAACCACTGCCAAAGTTTCGAAAATTAAGAAATAATTTTACTTTTTATTATCATCAGATTATATTATTTTACAGTGTATTCATTATGTATGAATTTTAGGAATTTATTTATTTATTTAATTAGGTAGTTTTATTGCTTTTTTTCTTTTAAATATGTCCTCTACTACCTAGAATCAAAAAAAAAAAAATTTTTTTTTTTTTTAATTAAAAATAATATTTTTTTAATTTATTTTCAAATTTCAGAAGAATAATTAAATTTCTATTGCGTGAAACTAAAAAAAAAAAACTTTCTTCACTTATTTTTTTTAACAATTGCATTTTCATTATTATTTTTTCATTTATTCACTTTCGGTTTGGGTTTTTTGTCATTTTCATTCTAATCTCAATTGTCATTTTTTCCTTCATGTATTTTGTTTTATATATTGCATTTTTCATTTATTTCATTTTTTTGAACATTTTTGTGTTGAATGATAGAAAACTTTTTCAAACAATAAAAAATATTAGGGATTTATTCTATACAAATAAATTATTTACCCAGATTTATTATTAAATTTCACAAAAGTAAATAACCACCATCTGAAAATCGCCCTTTCCTTACTAAGTTCAAGGGAAACAATATATTAAAATTCTTTCACAGGGATCTCAATGACTATTACACGCGTGAAATGAATTTAATCATATGTGCGTAACATTTAAGCAATAAAAATCGAGTGCACATCGGATATACTTATTGAAGACGCGAAATTAAAATTACGTCGATCCGCTAATTGTGTCCTGAATCCAAAGAAAAAACCCAAAGCAAATAGAGCAATGGTACCAGTTTAGGTAATCCAAATGCGAATTCTTTTAAAGTTACCTTTTATGTATTTTTCATCCAGTTTATTAGGATCTCAATAAATACAACCACCTGATTACATTATATGAAACCTTTATACCTATACCGTCTGCTTTATTATGACTAAATCAAAACCCAGAAACTCCTTTAGCATTTTCTTAATATCTTTTACTTCAATTTCAATTTATATTCTGGATTGATTATCTTATATTCCAATCCAATGATGTCATATAGTAAATTTGTTATACTAAATAAAATATAAGTAAAGTAAAATATACTTTTAAATCATAAAGATTAGTTCGCATACTTGTTGAAAATGGTGAAGATTTTTACTTTCTTCAAGTAAAACCACAATGACAATTATAAATTCTTTCTTATTGATTCAAATAATAATTTTTAATATGATATACCTTGAATTACATAAGAATAAACTTGAATAACTTATTACTTTGATAAACCAGAATTTTTATAGAAATATCCAAATTACATGTTATACATTTGTATTTTTGTTATATAATTAGGTAATGTTGTGTTGATTTTTAAAAAATATGGAGAATATACTTACACTTGAAATTAAATTTCATGTAGTTTTGAAGAATAAAATAAATGGAAGACAAAATGTTTTATCATCCAGATAAATTTTTTAATTAAATTAAACTGGATACTTTTTTTATTTTCATATATAGAATAAATATTTCAAAAATCTCAAAAAATTAAAATACACATTTTATTATATCATTTTTTTAGAAAAAAGAAAATTTTATAAAATCAATTCAATATTATACAGTATTGTAATTTTGTATTTGAGTCCCATACTTATACAAGTCAAATACAAAAGAATAGGTGACACAAATAGGAATTCTGATTTGGCTAATTTATAATATAAGATAAATAGGACTAGCTAGTCTATGATATAGGAATTCTGATTTTAGCTGATCTATAAATTTCTTTTGTATTTGACTAGTGTTATAAATATATATATATTACTTAGATATAATTTTTAAAAAAATAAATTATATAAAGATCAATTCAATATTAACTTATAAAATTGATTTTTTTTTTTTAGAATAAGAATTAACACTTGCTTTGATCCAATACTAGTCAAATACAAAAAAAAACACTGTTCCAAATAATGATTCCTATATTATAAGTTAGCTAAAATTGAAATTCCTATATTATAAATTAACTAAAATCAGCTATTCTATGTTATCCTATATTATAAATTAGTTAAAATTGAAATTCCTATTTGTGTTATCTATTCTTTTGCATTTGACCTGTACAAAGAATTTATTTTTGTAACAGCTCTATTAAAGTACTGATAATACTTATATCATATTAAGTTATTTATAATCTGAAATATAAGATCTTATTCTTAACTCTTGTATTATAATTTTATCAGTAGTCTAATAAATAAATTTAAAATATATTAATAATTTTATTATTAAAATATCATTGTGAAATGGTTTTAAACACAAGATCATAACTTTTCACATTAAAAAATTCTAAAATCTAAACAACAGATTTTAGAATAATAGTTACTATATATATTTTAATCTTTGCAATTTGAAAAATTTTTTAAAATATTTTTGTATTAAATTTATAATTTTGATTTTGTATAAATGGATAATCAATATTGAGAATTGGCACTTAATAAAATTTTAATTGTAAATAGAATTTTATATAAAATAATTATAGCCAAGGTAATTCTAGTACAGATCAAATATAAAAAAATTGTCATATCAAAAAGAAATTCTAATTTTAACTGATTGATAATATAGAATACAATAAGGCAATTAATTTTTATTGATTCTTAGTTAATCTATAATATAGGAATTACTATTTGATACAACTATTCTTTTGTATTTGATTAGTGTAGAGTTAATTATCCTTTCTGAAAAAAATAAGTATATCAAATTTCATAACAATTGGATTAATAGTTATTAAGAAATTAACTCTTAAAAATTGAAATTTTATACCGTATATAAAATTTTTTTTTTAATTATTTATATATAAAATTTCAATTTTCAAAAGTTAATTTTTTAGTAATTACCAATTCAATTGTTATGAAATTTGATATAATACAAATAACTTAATTATATTAAAGGTATTAAAAATGTGTAGATTATTTATTATAATATTAAATATAATTAATTAAATTTTATTATTTTTTTTATAATTAATATTAAAATTTTTATAAAATTTTTATTTTTTTATATTAATGTTAAAATTTTTTAAAAATATATAATTTAAAATTATATTTTTTCAATAAAAAATATATATAACTTTAAAATAAAATATATTGTTTTATAATACTTACTAAAAGCTATTAAATTATATATTCTTTTTTATATTTAAAATTTATATAAGAAACCTTAACATTTTAAAATTTAGTTAAAAGATTTAATGTTGTTCAAAATAAAACAAAGAATATTATACTTCTATACACTATAAAAAATTTCAAGACATAGATGTTTCTCTGTCCCTTATATGATAATCAACCAATAATATCATGATTCTTTTTTTAGATTATTTATTATTTATATTTTTTATTTGATTTTTTAGATTAAATTAGATTTTATATTTTTTATTTTATTTTTTAAATTAAACTAGATTTATTTATTATATTTATCAATTAAAAAATAAAAAATAAAAAATATATGAAAAAAAAAATAATAATAAATATTTCTATATTTTAGTTAGATTATTCTGAAATAATAAAATTAAATACTATCACTAGTCGAAAATTGATAAAACATACACATATCGAGTACTCGATATATGCATAGTGTGTCCCTAATATCGGGCATATATCGGATACCCGATAAGTGTAGAAAATATTTTATATATATATCGGATACCTGATAAGTGTAAAAAAATATTTTCTACACTTATCGGGTATCCGATATATGCCCGATATTAGGGACACACCATGTACATATCGGGTACCCGATATGTGTATGTTTTATCAATTTTCGACCAGTGTATTCTTTAACCTTTCTTTAACCTTTCTTTTTTATATCCTTTTATAATTTTTAATCTGTTTAAGTCTTTCAAAATCAAAAGGTCTAAAAAAAATATTTTCAAGAGTATCCACCTGAGACACTATTATGAACAAAAGATCAACAACAAACTTTTTGTTTTTAAGATCTATTTTAACTTTTGCCAAAGTAAGTCCTTGACTTTTATGAACTGCTATAATTCAAATAAGATAAATTGAATTTGCAATCATGAACATATTCTTCTATTTTTATCTTCCCAAATATATTGAATTAATACAATCAGAATGATTTTTTTATTGTCTGAAATAATAATAATAAGACCTTGATAATTATTAAAGGTAATAAAAACTATTGTTGGAAGAGAAGGCAATCATTCATTATTAAAAAAAATATCCTGAACAGTTTCCATTGCTTTATTAACTAACTCAACTTTAGTTTACAAATTTGTCATTAATATAATATGTACCCTTCTAACTAATAATAACTTTGCTTTAAGTCTTTTTGCTATATCAGAATTAACATTTTTAGTTTTTTTACTATCAATATGTATAGCTAGGATTTCAACAATCAGATAATTCAGAGATTTTAGCTTTTTCATATTAACTAAATTAACATCAGATCACATTGTCAAGATAAATATAATATCTGAGAATCATTTGCATTCTTTTTTGAACTGTTTATCTTCAAATCTTGAAGTAAGTATTTTCCAGTCCTCTTTAGTAGATTTTCTATTATGTAATTGTAAGAGAATCTTTTTAAATATTTGTTGTTCTTCAGAATCTTTCAACTGACATTGAATTATATTGAACTTGTATATTTTTCAAAATTGTCTATAAGTTACAAGACCATCATTTGATAATGCATCTTATTGAGTATCAACATACATAAGTAGATCAAGCACTGGTGGAAGCTGATCAAAATCTTCAAACAAGATAATTAATCATTTATCGAAAGGTTCCACTGGTCAAAAATTGATAAATTATACATACATCAGGTATCCAATATGTGCATAGTACATCCCTAATATCAGACATATATCGGGTACCCAATATATATCCAATATTAGAGACATACCATGCATATATCAGGTACCTGATATGTGTATGGTTTATCAATTTTCAACCAGTAAATGTGAGTATAAAAAAGTTTACACAATATCACAAAAGGATTACAATTTCATACAAACAGTTTGGAAAGAAACA